TAGAAAGACAAATGTGTATTTGAACATGTATTTGTCACAATTCAAATCATCTTGAATACATAGACCCAAACATTATCTATACAAATTAGGGTGTCAAAACGAGTTAGACCCGATAAGTCAACCTATCAGCCTACTAAGAAAAAGGTGAATAAGGCTAAAATTTTCAACCCGACAACCCATTTTGACCCAATCCACTTAGTCTGCCACATTGGTGGGTCAACCTATACTAGTTTTTTAATTTAAAAATAAAAAAAATAATAAATTAACTTTTTGTATTATAACTTTTTAAAATATGTAAATATATAATAATATTTTAATTTAAATTATTAAGATTTACAAATTAAATTCTAATTTTTAGTTATAATATAATAATTTAAAATGTAAATGCAATATTTATTTTAATTTATTTAATTAAAAATATTAGTTAATTAATTAGAGATAAAGCCAAATTATAATATATAAATGAGGTGTGCAAACCTCACCTTAAAGGTTTTGTGAGATTGAGTTAGAGTTAAACCCACCTTCTAATAGGATTCAAACATTTCCTCAGTGCTAGGAAGGTATTCGTTTTGTTCTTAAAAAGCTTCAGTATAAAAAAGGTATCAGTCGCTGAGGATGTCTCATGATTTGAATTTGTTAACTCAGAGAACAGGTTAAAAGAAATTACAACAAAATTAGTGTAAAACAAAAGGTAAATGCATAAATTGATCACCTGCATATCAAGATTCTCCACTTAAGTAACTTTGAAGGCGAAGGAAAATTAATATCGGATAAGATGTGAAGTAAATATGGTATAGCCACAATGTAATGACCTGATAATCCTCAACTGCTGAATATCGAATATGGACGAAGAGTATTAACATTCAAACCTTCCAGTGATGTTAGATCCCAAAAGGTGGTGCATGAAAGCATCGAAAAGTTTTACAGATTGGTGTTAGACCATAAAGGTAATTATGAAAGCAATGCCACAAAATGAATGGGGCAGAAGATAAGTTGACAACTAGGATCAACTATTGCAAGGTCCAATATACTTATTGCACAACCATATATCTGTGAGAATCGGATTAAGCATGTTCTAAATTAAAAACACACTTTTGGTTTATGTACAGCTCCTACAATATTTTTTCTTTCTTGTGTGAACAACCGCTAACCAATCAAAACAACAGCTGTCAGATAGGATAAAAGATTCTTCTTTCGTACATGTAAATAAAAAAACCAAAACAAAAATTCAAGGATGACACTGCCATTCTGATATCCGAATGGTTGTGAACAAGTCCTTCATGGGAGAAACTGTAGAGAAATGAGTTGTTCTCGAGAAATTGTAACAAAACCTACTCATCCTCCTGACTTGACTTCCTTCTCTATTGACCTTTAACAAAATGATTACACAAAAAATTGTACAGAACTCAAAAATAGCTTTAAAAGACACGAATGTAAGGCTCGAAAAACTGAATATGTTACAAACTAGACAAACCTGAGTTCATTGAGTACTAGCCTCTAGCATGACATCAGAATTCCTAGCTCCCGTCACTACACTATCACCAGGTAAAGTCAACTACAACTATAAATGTGAGGAGTGATATGATTACAAGGGGCAGAGTGATACATGGAAGGCCATAATTGAAGAATGAATACAACTTTTTATCTTACATAGGAGAATCTGGAATTAAAAGAAGCAAGCAATACGCAAGTAAATTAAATTACTTTGGTTCCACAAACTGTTTGTCAAGTGAACAGAATAACCCATATTTCATAATCACTTTTCAATCCATACATATTTTTCTCTTTCAAAGAACTTACAAAAATAACAAAGACAAAACTAATTCCTCCATTAATTACTTTCCCCTGAAAAAGTTGCAAAGCAAATCAGACCGATCCTCAAAGGCAAATCAACCACTCGGGCACTGCATAGGAATCTAATAAGAGTAACCTCAAAGGCAAAGGGATTAAATACATATAATATCGAAGATGATATAATTTCATTAAATTCAAAATTCAACAAAAAAACCCGTTTGCAAAATGCATCAAAGCTCGTCCTCCATCCTCAAGTACTCTCCCACATCGGCCTGGTGCAGAACAACGATGCCATTGGGATCCAACTTCCTGCAATCCTGCGTAGACTTTGCGGCGATACCGAAACCCAACGGCACATCCGCCATGGAAAATACAACAACTCCGTCGCCGGCGGCAATGTTGTCCGTGATTCTGCCCAACGCGCTCTTCAAAACGTGGTTTCCGTACAAGAAAGACATCTCAGACTGCGGTTTGAGCCATACTTTGTGTTTGGCGTTGGCGGCGAGCAAGTTTAGGGCCTGGACGGTGAGGTGGAAGCTGCCGCCGTGGGTGTACTTGCCGATGCAGGTGCCGAGCGACACAAGGTTAGGACGCGCGACGTTGGTGGCGCGCTTTACGAGGGACTCGCTGGCATAGTAGATCTTGTTCTTGTGGAGGCGGAAGCAGTAGCGGCCAGGGTTGGCGTCGGGGCCCTCGTGAGAGGGGTTCTCGACGATGTTCTTGAGGTTGTTTCCGACGAATTTGAAGAGTTTCTCGAACACTACGCTCGTCTCCTTCTCATCCAAAGGTCTCATCTTCCTCTTTCTCTCTCGCTCCCTCCTTCTAGGGTTTTACAGCGAGATTAGGGTTTTTGGTTTTGTTGACTTCAGAAGATGAAAAAGAGACTAATGCCTCAAAAAGACACCAAAGCCCAAAACGGGAACAATAATTTCTTTGGGTCTCTTTCGGCCCATTGTTTCTTTGTGCCCAACAAACAAATAGCTAGGTGTGTATGGTTACTTTACTTCTCTGTTATTTTTATACGTTTATTTATATATTGTATTGATTCAAAATGTTACTATTTTATATCTTACTAGAAATACATGTCCAAAGGATCTTTATAATATAATTTCTATTATTACTCAATATAGAATATTGTTTAAGCTATAAATTTATTTTTACAAAAGAAATACTTTTATTTTGATTTGATTTGGCTTTTTGATGAATATAAGTGTTAATTAATCTTTTTAATTGTTTTTTTTTTCACACGTAATAGTCAAGAATAAAAGTTATAATTGTATAAAACATCAATATTAATATATATGTGGATATTGTAAATAGTTTGTAGACTATTGGTGCATTAATAAAAGTTACAATTTGTAAATGGAAAATGAAAAAAAAAAAAAACTAAGTCAGAAAGCTTAAACCTTTCGAAATTTCACCACCAAGATTATAACTAGGTGACAAAGATGGAGAGTTGACTGTACGAATACATTAAATTCATAAGTTTTGACTGTACCTTTAAAAATAATACATGTGTGCTCTTCGTAAAATTTCGTGTGCTGATGTGATGCTTATGACATGTACTATAGTTTGATGATTTAGTTTTTTCAAACATGGTATCAACAAGATCATAAATGGGTACACTTTTAGTATCACTTATTGAAACTTCGATCAATGTTTTAGCTTGAAAAGTTTATTGTTTCATCTCATACACGTTACAAATAACTTTTTGAAAATTCTTCGTTGCTTGTAGTGGTGTGAAATGCAATGTTTTAAAATAAAGTTTAGAAATATTGGTTCTCATGTTTAATGAGTTGTATTTTCAACTTAAACTTGCTAAAATATCCCTTAAAATTGAATGTAATATAACAGATGTAGAATAGTGAGTGAAGATAATTTATTTCTTATGCGACATTTTTAAATGTAATAATTGCTACTCTATCACTTTTCAAACTATAAGTTTGATTGAGATGTGCGCCTCAAAATGTCTTCTATCTCACCTCAACACTATAATAAAATATAAGAAAGGAAAAATAAAATGGATGTTTTAAGTTAAGAAAGTCATTAATAATAATTTACCACCAATAAAAAAAATAAAGAAAGTACGTATACATTTAGTTATAATTTTTTTATTTACTTATGTTTTTTCAATAGTATAGCACGTGATATTGGTTAGTCCAATCTTTAATCATCTCAATATTCATATATATGATTGCAAATAGTATAACAACAAAAAGATCATTTTCTATTTTCAATTCAACATTATTCATATATTCTTATCGTTACTAAATGCAAAAAGGGTTTATTTAGTCATTATGTTCGTATCACAATAGGATCATATCACAAAATAATTAAATTTGATGTTAAAAATATGCAATGACATTTCGGTAGATGTTTTCATCTTTCATGATGTTAAATGAAGATGGTAATTTTTTTTTTCAAAATTTCAGAAACAACATTAGTCATTATCATATTTCTCTTCAATATTTGTGCAAAACCTCTTACTCTCTTTCATGTTTGCACTATATCTTTCAAATTTTCAAAAACAATATTAACATCCTCATTTTTCTCTTCCACTTTTTCGCAAAACCTTTTACTCTCTTTCATCTTTGCACTACAAGCTAAATTTGTAAAACAAGTTTTTCAACCTATTCCACTTTGTCTTATCATGATTGTATGTCTTAAATATGTTTTTAGGTTTTTAATTCAAAAGAGGAAAATGAATGACAAAGACAAACATAGTTGTAACTGTGTATTAATTTTTCATAATTTTAATAAAAAAATATTAACAAAACAAATTAGAAAAAAAAAACCCACAAATTTATATGAGTTTTTATAACATTCGTCAATTAACATGTTACTGTATGCTTCTAAATTTCTAAAAATATAATAATAATATTTTAAAACTCAAATTTTTTTTACAATATTATCTGCTTTGTTATTCTTATTTTCTTAATAAATACAATAGATTATATTTTTCATAAGCATCTTATCGGATTGTGAAATGAGTGTTTTTGTCCACAAGAAAAAGTGAAAACAATGAAGAACATAACAATAACTCACAATTTAAGTACCTACGGATGACAATGCTCGTACCTTTCTAACAGGTCAGAGAAGTGCCCAGAATGTAAGCATAAGAAAAACATGAAAATATTATATTATGCTATTGAACAATATTTTACAGTATATGATCCAATCTCCTAGGATTAATATTGGAAAAGAAATTAAAAAGCAGAGATAGACGTGAAGCATACATTACGTAACCAAAAACTTCAACAATTACATAAAGAACACGCCACCTGTCCCGGAAACTAGAAGTAACAAAACAGAGTATAGTGTTGCAAAACCATATTCAAGGTTCACATACTAAGAAAAACTATGTACTCCAAAGAAACAAAGGATTAAAAATCAAATCCACCGGCATCTCCAAAACCAGCATCATAGCCAGCATCGTAAGAACCCACATCAGATATCATGTCTCCGATCAGAAGCCCACCCAACGCTCCGCCAAGCAAACCCGCTCCCAATCCCATTCCAAATTTGTTCTTCCGAGCTCCTTGAGCAGGAGCAGGAGCAGGAGGGTAACCGTACCCGGGTTGCGGCGCGTACCCGTAAGCCGCTTGTGGAGCGTACCCATATGCCGCTTGTGGCGGCGGAGGGTACCCATATCCGCCCGCATATTGTGGCTGCGGGGGAGGAGGATACACGACGGGATACGAGGCAGAAGTGGACCCCACCGCGGGAGCAGGATAAGCCGTCACCGGCTCCGTCTTGGGAGCAGGCGAAATCACAGGCGCTGACGGCGCTGACGATATCGCGGGCTCAGTGAATTTTTCGCTAAATCTGTAAGAAAAACTAAAAGATCCTTTGGGTTTGCCGGAGGGTTTTCTGACCTGGTAACTGACATGCTGGAAGGATTTTCCATCACCGGGTTGGTCGAGGAGCTCCCTGATGGGGACGAGGACCTGGCCGATTTCTTTGTCGGCGGATAGGTTGCGCTCGCAGCGGAGCTTGATTTCGAGGGTCAAGCGATTCTGCCGCGCCAGCGATTCGTCGATGGTGAACTTCTCGGTAACTTTCCACGCGGGGTTGGTGCCGCCGTTTCTGTCGACGGGAGTCTTGATCTTTTGGACGCCGGAGAGCGAAACGACGGCGTACACGTCCATCCTGGAAAAGAGATTCACGTTTTTCAGATCCTTCGCCGATCCGAGGCTGAGTTCCAGCGTTCTGTGTTCCATGGTGACGGCGACGAGGGTTTCGGTGAATTCGCAGATCAGAAATATGAATCTGAAGTTCTTTGTTGCGTTGGTTTTATCTTCTTCGTTCGGAAACTAATTAACACAAATTAAGGTCAACCATCTTGAACTTAAAGTGGCAGTCTTTCGTATTCACGCGTTTTAATAATGATATCCTTTTTTTCTCGGGTTTTATTGCTGTAACGAGATAATTATTTGGCAGAAATAAAATAAATATATTTCTATTACTTTTTATACATATTTTACTTTTTCAGTTATATTATTTTAAGGTTTCGTATATCTTCATAGGGTAATGGTAGGTGAGACATTTGACATTATAAAAGTGTGTCAGAGTATTTATCATTTTTATATTTTAGATTTTTTAAATGAAAAAATGTTCTTTTCACACGATTTGGTTGTCATCTAATAATTTTTATAGAAATAAAATTATCTAAACAAAATTTAATTTTTATATTTTTAGAAGAAAAAAATGTTAATGGATATGAAACAAATTATGATGTGAAAGTACCGGTATTTTTAAAATTTAAAAAAATAAAAAAGGATTAATCTGATGAAACAATTTCTTTCGAAACTTCCAAAGTTTACACTGCTATTGACCAAGTCCTATGTCAGTTGCAAGCGTCTGCATCACTTTGCATATGCACGACCCACACGGCTAACGACTTTTTCCTATTGTCATTTTCAGTTTCACTGACGCGTGTTGTGCGAGCTAATCAAAGAAAAAACTTACAATACCATTTATTTTATTATTTACTAACTTATGTATGTAAAAATAATCTTTCTTTTATTTCATAACAATTACAGTGTTTTTTCGTAAAAGACAAAATAATAAAAGTTCTTTATTCTGTTTTTAATACAAATACGAAAATTGGCCGTTTCCAAGAAGTTGTTGGGATCCTTCTTCCAACGAACTTTATGTTCCAGGATGTTGCACTCCTTTCTTTTATTATATTTTCGTCCTTTTATTAAATTTTAAAATATTACTTCGTTTTTATTTTATTTCTTATAATTTAATTTGAAAAATCCGAAATAAAGCACGCCGAAAATTATTTAATTCTCTATGGTTTTTTTTGGTCTCTTCGTTTTTTGGTCTCTAGGTGTCATGGATCTTTTCGTTAGGAGAAAAGGGGGAGATAATGTCTTACACTCAATAACAAAGAGTACAATGTTTACAAATTAACCCATTTTTTCAAGTTGTTTAAATGTTTTAGGTTAACTTTATGAAACAACAAATAAGTACTAACTTTTAGTTTGGTAACATTTTTTTTAACTAGTCATCTTTTTTTTTCATCCTTTCTTGGGATTAGAAGAGAAAATAAAAATCTTTTTATTTGATTTCATGTATTATGAATCACAAATATTTCTTATATCTTAAAGAGAGTTTTTATCGAATTAATATTTCATATCGATTTTACAACAGTAATTTCAAGATTTTGAGTGACAAAACAGGTCAATCCATTCCGTTTTGATCCAATTTGTATTTAAATCATAAAAAATTGATCGGATAAGATTAACCTCTAACTAAACAATAGGTTAAAAATTATAATTCGTCCTATCATAGGATGAACTAATAGATTGTCCCGCAATTATATATATATATATATATATAAATCATGTAATTATTTTTTAAGCTTTTAATGGATTAATTAATTTTTTTAATTGGATAAATTAAAATAATTATTATATTTACATCTTAAATTACTTTATTACAATTAATAATTTAAACTTAATTTTTTAAGTGTCAGTGATTTAAATTACAAATACTACATATTTATATTTTTAAAAATATATAATAAAAAAAAATTAATGTTTTCAATTATTTTTATCTTGATTTTTAATTTTTAAAAAATAGATTAGGGGATAGAAGTAGATTGACTTGCTTTTGATCCACTAATATTAGTGTTGTCAAAATGGATTGTAACCTGTGAGTTAATCCGGCTCACCGCGGGTTTGAGTCGGTTGGGTTTGAAGAGAAACAATATTATATATTTATCTATTCAAGACTCTAATATTATATATTATATATGGACATTTGATACAAAAATTATCAATATTAAAAACTTATTTGTTTGCATTTTGTACTTGTTTTTTTATTAAACTTGAATTCTATGATATTTTTTTTCAATTGTCTTCGAAGTTTAACATCATTTTAGAGTTAAATTTATTTAGATTTGAATTAACAAAAATTATTTTAAGAAAACTTATAAATAAATGAGCTAGTGATCGAGCCAAGTTCAAATTTTTCCTAATAAGTGAGTCGAGTTGGGTTGGTTCACTAAGTGACCAACCCATGGTGGACTGAGTCGAGTCGAGTCGAGTTATCCCTTTTGACAGCTCTAACTAATATGACAGGTTAGACGAGTCAGGTTAAAACATGTCAACCGGTTTAACTCGACTTATTCCATTTTGGTAAGTTAAGACTTATGCGAGGTGAGTCAGATTATTAAGTCCGCATTTTTAAAACGGACAATCATATCTAATTTGCATTTTACGGGTCAAGTGCAAATAAACCTAAACAAATCAGACCAACCTGTATTACCATTCATAATATGATATGTGTCACTTATGGAAAAACATTTGATTTGATTTCAACAATATTCTCATTTGTATTGCTGTATACTTTTATGATATTTGCAAATTTTAAATATAAACAATATTTAAAGCTATATTAATCACATTGGTTTTTATCTTGTTTGAAAGTTAATATAACTATCTACAACTTTTACATTTACCGTTCTTCTTAGATTAGTGTAAAATTATACTTAATTGAATCATAATTTTCAAAAGTGAAATGCATATTATGCGTTGTACCTTGCATACGTGATTCTCTAAGTGTATCCTATAAGTGAACCTCTAATATGATTTCTATACAAATACATTTTATTTTCCACAGCTCTATGACAGTAACTATACCCATGTAAAGAGACTTTCAAGATTAGTGTGCAACCTAGTGGACTTAAAACACTAATGCTGTGTTCTTTTGTAGTGATTTGGAGGAGATGATTTGGGAGATATGATTTGAATGAATTTGACTGGATTTGAGAGTAATTTTTTTGTTGTTTTTTTGAGTGGATTTGTGGGTAATTGAGAGTGGATTTGAAAGTAAAGTTTTTGAAAATTAGTGTAGGATTTGATTGATGTGATAAATTTAAAAAATTAGTTTAATTGGTAAAAATTAAAGATTACCAAAATGTCCCTAATTATTAAAATAATATAAAATGTTATTTGTTAATGTTATATTTAATTGTAAAACTGTTTATTTGTTAATGTTATATTTGATTGTAAAAATATGGTTTAATTACTTGCATTGTCCCTAGTTTGGCTGCAACGTGTCAAAGTAGTCCATCTTTTTAAAAAAATTTCAATTACGTACAAACTTGGTTTAAAAGTGTTAATTTCGTCCAAACGTATGTAAAATTTGCTTCAATCAAGTCCCTTCCGTTAAATTCACCAAAACGGACGTTAATTTTTTAGTTCTCTCTCCTCTGCTCCTCTGCTCTGCTCCTCTGGACATTATAAAATAATATAATGATAATATAAAATATAAAATAATACATTAAGCAATTATTAGAAAATTTGAAAATATTATGCATATATATTAAATGAAAAAAACAGTATACGTGGACTAAGTTATACAGAACTTCTGCACAGAGTAATGATTGTGGATGAAACTCTCATTTCTCATATATTTATACTTGGTTTTAGTTTATCTTACAAAAACATGAAAACTAAATCTAAACAAAAAGTATTCTTTTCACACCCATTTTCTGCTTCATTCGATAATTGCTTTTCGTAGTAAAATATTATATTAAAATAATAACAATAAATATAATTAAAATATTATAATTCGTAGTAAAATATTATCTAAAAATCAAATAATTCATTTTTGTGTTCTTTAACTAAAAAGGTATTTACAAAATTATTTATTTTGGTATAATATTGGTTGAACTGTTTCTACATATTTTCATTTTCTTTAAAAAAGAATTATACGTTTTGTGTTAATTATATATATATAATTTATCGTCATTAAAAGTATATTAAAAATATATATAAGATAATAGGATAAATCATATATATTTAAAATAATTTATTAATTAATTTATTTACTAAAATAGTTTTAGATAATAAAATATAAGATAGATATTTATATTTGAGATTAATAAAATTATGTTACTTTAAAATACACACATATTTTAATTAATAGATACTGTATAACTTTAATTTTTTCTTTCAATTAACAGTTAATAAATCATATGTAGCATATTAGTAAAAAAAAAGTGGAATAATAATTTAGATAAAATCATTTAGTTACATCATGATCATGATTTAATTTATGTAAATATTAGATATAAGTGAAAAACATTTTAGTAAAGGAGCAGCAGAGCATAGCAGTAGAGCAGTAGAGCAGTAGAGCAGTAGAGCAGAGAAGCAGAGGAGAGAGAAAAAAAAATTAACGTCCGTTTATGAGATTTAGCGGAAGGGACTTGATTGAAGCAAATTTTACATACGTTTGGACAAAATTGACACTTTTAAACCAAGTTTGGACGTAATTGAAACTTTTTTAAAAAGATGGACTAACTTGACACGTTGCAGCCAAACTGTGGACAATGCAAGCAATTAAACCTAAAAATATTTATAAAGAATAAAAAGTTAAAAATAATAATTAAAATTAATTGTAGCCTTCTTATTAAACTAGTTAAACGTAAATGGAGAATTTAAAACAAAAAATTTAACATACAAACGTTGATTTAGCCATTATACTGCTAATTGAAGGAATAAAGCAATAATATCGTCAGTGACCATTGATGGTGCAGGCTGTGAAGATGTTGAAAAGCTTGCACAATACCCTCAACGAACCCCACCAAAAATTTGCAAACTTTAAAAAATTGCTCGAGGGTACACTTGACTTCTCCCATAATATTCGCGCAAATCTCTTCTCTCGGGTGACCAAACTTCGTCCAATCTCGCAAATCCGTCATAGCTTATCCTTGCTCATCCACTCAAACGAACAGCACAGGAGATTCAAATCATCGCTCACAATTTCGCATGAAGAGTATAATCTATTCATGCGAACACACGCTAAGAGAACTTCTAAATCAATTTCAACGTATAACAACTTAAGAAAAAGGAAATAATTTACCTTATTACCACCCAAATATAAAACCATGTTATAAAAAAAAAATAAAACAACTTTCACCTACCAAAAACTACTTGATATAAAATTTTGGGCTAAGGAAAATCTCTTAAAAACTTTCACAAATTTAGAAAACTAACTAGTAACCAAGAGAAAAAAAAATAAAGTTAAACTTACCAATCATTGAGTAAAATATTTTTAAAAATTCAGAGAAAAGCACAAGTCGCTCCCCCTTCCTCGTATGTAAAAACCTCATCCAGAAAGCAACACAACATACATGTATTAAATATACTCAACACTACAAAATCATTATCTTCACTACCTCTTAATTAATATATCCTTTTTATCTAAAATTCTAAAATTAATCCATAATCATATTATATATATATATATATATATATATATATATATATATATATATATATATCACTACTAAAAAATCATTTATTACAAGCAAATTTTACTGTTAAAATATTTCGGCAATTTCTTTTTCGTAAAAAAAAAGTTACCGATATAATTACATGTGAGTTTTCCTGTGTAAAATTAGATCTGTATGAAAATTACTTTTAATATTTTCCATATTACTTGTGTATTTGCCATTATATGATTAGGTACTTTTTCTTTCTTACGAATAAAAAATCACAAAAAAAATGTTAGATCTTTTAAATGATGCTGTAAATGCTTTTTTTGCAAATTTTCTTATGGATATAATTTTGTAAATAAACATATAGATTTTTGGTTTGAAATATTTTCTGAAGACGCAACTTTTTTGTGAATAATATATTCAAAATAATTTTGTTTCTTATAAAATTATTTTGTAGATAACTATTAATAATAATTATATAATTATCTATATATACATTAATTATTATTTTTCTTGGAAATAAAAAATCTCAGGAAATTTGAAATTTACATTTGAAACTTCGTTGCCTTTTAGATTTGAAATTTCATCTATTAAAACTTAATTCATCTCTTCTCCCACAACAGTGACTTGGCCTCATTTTCCGCGAAGATTTCCATTGACGCTACATCCTGCAGAGATTGAAAACATTTACGCACTACAGCTTATATGATTTACGCGCTAGTCTCTGAAGCTTCCAGTTAACCTGAAAAAACCTTGACTCCCAATTTCGAAAGGTATGAAACCCTACCTTGTTCATAAATCTGAATGCTATACTGTTCAATATGTCACTGTATCTCTTCTTTCTTAATGTAAGATCAATTTTGTTTTTGTTATTGGTAGGTATTTTAGTGTGAACCCTAAAGGAGAACACTGAGATTGCAGTGAGGTTGCAGAGAAAGAGAACAACACAAATCTGTTTGTACGATTGGAGAATGCAGGTGCAAATCTGTTAGTGTGATTGGAGAACGTAGGTGCTTTCAAGAGAGAATCAGTGAACTGCAAAATTGTTACGCAGGCGTCCTATGATCAAAACTAGCATGTACTGTTGAGTGTGTCTCTTAGCGCAAATTATCTTGTCTGCATTTTGAGATTGATATTGAATTCACTTTTCATTTTATTTGTAGTTGATGACTCATTGATTTTTTATGAAACCAAATTTGCTTAACCTAATTAAGCTAGCGATCTAATAATGGTTAAGAAATTTTGTTTTTATAATTAGAAATACATTGATTGTTATAGAATTCACTCCCTGTTTATTGGTGTTTGAAAGAATACAGATTATTAATAAATATCACATTATACTGACACCGATTAGTGATGTCATTGTATTTAGCATCTAGTTAATAAGAAAACTAACCATAATTAACATCAACATTTCCTCAATCATGTCAGATTTTCTTCTTTGTTTGGTTGCAGATTGCAACCCAACTCAGTAACTTACAAGCAAATAAAAAGTAGATTATTATGTGTAGAAAGCTGCAGATTGCAGATTGTTTTTACCACTGGTTTAGTTAGTTAGGAAAGCATGTGTAGAAAGCTGGAAGCAGATGCATATGGATGATTGATTCAGTCTTTGAAGTTTGAACCAATGCGTAGAAAGCTAATTCCTTTTAACCTTTTTAGTCTTAGATAGATAGACAGATATAATATAGCTTTTCTTTACAGAAAATCTACAGAGTACATTCACATCTTTTGTTCAAAGTGTGGGACAAAAGGAAAAAAAAGGGACTTTGCACCTAACATAAATGAGATTGGAAGTTAATATAAAATTATCAAAATTATGAAAATAAGCATGTCATTAATAATTATCCTTGGCCCAAAAGTCATGGAGCCAGGGGACATAGGAACGGTACTGAGCTGTGACCATATACCAATCACTTTTACCAAATTCACTTCCAAAAATTTGAAAGATCGTGTCACTGTAACATTACTAATATTTCTCATTATAGGTTGGCCCATGACCTTTCACCTTCATTGCCAGAAACCGGATCCAACCCATAAGTTCACAAACAATTTTGGGTTGTAAAGTAGTGCAGTGGCTAGTGAGTGCTTTGACAACTAATCCAAGGCTACACTACATTTTTCACAGTTCCGAGGAGAGACGCCAACCCTCTCATTTTCCTTTTTATTAATGAATTCAATCTGGCCACATGATTCAGAACACACTTCTTATGATACTTATTCTATTATGATATACTAATTTTGTAGTTATTATAGCATTCAAAATTGGTTCATATCTCATTACAATGGTTGATTCATATTCAGCTCTCTTTATTATTGATGAAATGTCTTCCATTTCTGCTCTGGATTTCCGCAGGGATGAATGAAGAGTTGATGTGGCCATAACTAGCTCTGAAAACATTAAAGTGCTACATGGTGTGATGTGTTGCTTCCAAGAAAAGTCCCTTTGAACGAAGACATTAGGACTTTTTTTTCATAGGCTTACTGGTTTTAATTTCCAAAATTCAAATTAATAGATGTGTTTTCTGAATTATTTTGTCTACATTGTTGACTATCATCTGTTAACACTCTACCATTCATTGCATAATTGAGCTTTGTTCCGGTAGGGTTTGGAGGTCCCCCGCTAAAACACTCTTGGTCGTACTGAAGACTGGATGGGCGTTGAAGATCTGACGGACGGACGTTGCCCGCTCTCCCTCCTCCTTCTCCAAGCCAGGCGGACAGACACCTGTCAAAGGCACTCCGACGCTCAAGTCAGTAAAATGACCGAACGGTTGGCACCGCATATAATGCATGTGTGCATAATGAGCAACGTCGTCCAGAAATCATACTTGGGACTCTTATTTATACTGGTTGTAATGGGTTTTTAGCTTTTGTCGGCCTAATGACGGTCCAATCACGCCTTAATCTTCATTAGGGACTTTAATGAGCTATTATAGGCCTGGATGATCGGCCGGGTGGATGGTCGGCCTGGATGATCGGTTGGGTGGTTGGTCGACCTGGATGATCAGCCGGGTGGTTGGTTGGCTTGGATGATTCGGCCGGGTGGATGATCAGCCTGTGGCGTTGGCCTGGTGGATGATCAGCCTGGATGATCGACCGGGTGGATGATCGGCTTGGATGATCGGTCGGGTGTTTGGTCGGCTTGGATGGTCGGCCTGATGGATGATTGGCCTGGATGATCGACCTGGATGATCGGCCGGGTGGTTGGTCGGCCTGGATGGTCGGCCTGAGTGGTTGGCCTAGTGGCGCAGTACATCAGCCCCCCAAGCCCGAGCATGATGATAATGATGCCGATCATCCAGGCTGACCAACCACTCGGCCGATCATCTATGCCGATAATAGCTCATTAAAGCCCCTAATGAAGATTAAGGCGTGATTGGGCCATCATTAGGTCGACAAAAGGTAAAAGCCCATTACAACCAGTATAAATAAGAGTCTCTGGTATGATTTCTGGACAGACTACTCATTATGCACACCATATGCCTTATTTGTGGTGCCTACCTCGGTCATTTTACTGACTTGAGCGTCGGAGTGCCTTTGACAGGTGCCCGTCCGCCCGACTTGGAGAAAAGGGAGGGAAAGCGAGCAATTTCCGTCCAGTCTTCAACGTCCATCCAGTCTTCAGTACTACCAAGAATGTTTTAGCGAGAGACCTCCAAACCCCACTAGAACACTAGCCATAACTTTTTAGATTTCTAACTAATTTGTTTAAAAGTTTTATATTCCTTCGCAGAGAATTTTTTTACCAGTGAAAGTGCATTAGTCAAGTGGATATGAACAATACATTCTCAGTGGCGTGCGAGGAAACAGAGAAAATGTATAAATATTTAATCATCATTTTTCTCATATTTGTATGTAAATACGGTTCAAAACAGAATCAACCCAATTCTAAAACATTTTTAAAGTACATGGTTCGAATGTTGACTTAAAATTGTTTCCTTTCTTAAGACTTTCTTTATTATTTAGACATTCTAATTAAGTGTTATTTGATTAAAATTAATATTATAATAAATATGTTTTAAATATATCAATAACCATATTTTTAACTTGGATGCATGATTTTTTTTTATCAATTTCTAACTAAGATGGTTCTAATTACAATCTAATTCTATTAAATATAATTATTAATTTTTGGAACAGTTAAATTAATATGGATCGATGAATGTATATAAAGTACAAAAACTAAAAACCCAAATAAAAAATGACAGAATCCTTTTCTTATTTTTTAAATATACTTTAAGATCACAACACATTAAGTATAATAACTCGTTTTAATGTCCAGGTAACATAGAAAATTCATATAAAAGGTAACAGCCCATCTAAAACAAATTAAATAAATTGAAGACGACAATTTTTTTCTATTAATGGATTAAATAACAGTAACAGAAAAACAAAACAATACATGAAAGAAAGGTTATATACAATATAAAAAACACTAAGACAAAAGAAAAAGGTTATATAATATTTATAACATTTAATTATATTTTATCATTAATATATTGTAATGTTTTTAATGAAACAATTAAGTTAATAGGCTACATGATGTAATTAATTAGGTATGTAAAATGTAATTTGAAACTTTATATAAGGTTTAGAATTGAATTCTTCGTTGTGTAGACTTGAGTTAGACTGTATATGTTTGAAAAAGGCTAGTTAAATCAGATTACTTTGCCATAATATTCACATGTTTTAGGTGTGAAATATTCAAAATTTGCTGAGGTTGTTAATTGTAAGTTCGATAAAAAAAAAGTTAATAAATCTCAATTCTAAATTAGATTTTTTATTTATTTTCCTTTTTAATATATTTATTTATTGGTAGGTATAAAGTAAACACGATGACGTGAATAAAGACGAAAAAAGAGAGAAAAAAGCTTGAATGGTAATCAATGGAGGAATTGCTTTGCGGCAACTAAAGGTGGAAACATTGTGAGGGAGGACCACCATTCCTTTAGCACACCACTATCTTTTTTCTAAATCCACCCTCGTTTTTTTCTCTTACTTTTTTTCTTATAAATTTTTTGGTTTTTTTCTTTTTTTCTTTTTAAGTGTTACTCCTCTCACCTATTATAAACTAAACGCATAGAAAATTAATTTTTAAAGAATTGTGTGAAAGTATATATAACATAATATATAATACAATAAGACAATTCGTCTATAATATAAATATAACTAAAAAAAGAGAGGATAATTTCAGATATTTGAGAGAGAAGTTTCTAAACTACCTATTTTGTCTTCTTACAACCTATAATACATGAGTGTAGATATTTAATTTTCTTTTGGAAAAAGTTTGAAAACCAATTTAATGTAAAAGAGAGAATTTGCGTTGAAATTTATTTGATTTTGAATTCGAACGGACCAAATACTTAGTCCAATCCTCATACAGACGTAAAAAATTATAAACATAACCTTATAACTAGTATCTACTAAAAGAAATATTATTTATTAAAGAAAAAAATATTTTTCCTATTTTAAAACTTATTTTTAATTTTGTGTTAAATTTTATTGTAACTTTGTCATGATGTAACCAATTAACTTGAAATCATCAACGAGATCAAAGATCAAAGAAATTCGAATTAGGTGATATTTTTTTGGTCCATACAAATAACTTTTAGTGCAACAAAAATTATAAAGAAAGTGTGTTTTGACTAATAATAATATATTATAATAGTAATTATAATAAAGATAAAGATTGATTTGTGAATAAAAAAAAGGAAAATAAAAGAGAGAAAGGTTTAGCAATAGGGTAGGACATAGGTGAATCTGAAACTGAGAAAGAAAAAGAATACGCTGAAATGCCATAATTTCTCGTCAATTGAAAACAAAATTTTGTTCTCATAAACTCAACAATCATTTACTTCATTTCTTTCTATAAATAAACTGCGCCTTTCTCCGCCAAATCTGACTCAATCGGATAGAAAACTTGTTTTCTCTGTTCGTCTCTCTCTCTCTCTCTCTTTCTCTCTCTTCATCTCTCTCTCTCTAGTCTCCAATGTCGGCTCTCTTCTCCATCTCCCCGAGGTCCCTTTCCTTCTCTCTGCACATGCACAGATCCTAAACCCTAATTTCTCTATCGACTTCTCTCCGATTTTCAGAAACCCTAATTTCATTAGCCGTTGCAGGTTGTAGCCCTAAAACGGAGGAGACTATTTGCGGCAATGGAGGAACCGAGTAAACTGAAGCGTGCCTTGATTGATTCCTCGGCCGGAGCAATTTCCGGAGGAATATCACGGACTGTTACCTCGCCCCTCGATGTTATAAAGATTCGATTCCAGGTTTGTTTGTGTCTGTGTTATGTTTTTTTTTGGTTGGAATGGTTATTTCAATTTAATTGTGGTGTTATTCACGCTCGAAATCAAAATAACAGGTTCAACTGGAGCCCACATCTTCGTGGGCTTTACTACGTAAGGATTTGGCTGCAGCTGCGTCTGCACCATCAAAATATACTGGCATGTTTCAAGCAACGAAGGATATTCTTAGAGAAGAAGGCGTTCAGGTAGAGGAAGCAATAAATAAAGCCTGCGATTTTTGTTACCCTTTTATGTTTATCATTGTGTGCGTGTTTAGGAGCTAAAAGCTTCTTTTTTTTTTTCTTATCCTTTTTCCAGGGATTTTGGCGGGGAAATGTCCCGGCATTGCTCATGGTTATGCCGTATACAGCTATACAGTTTACAGTTTTACATAAGTTGAAGACTTTTGTCTCTGGCTCTTCAAAGACAGGTATTCTATTTTGTAATTTACGGTCTCCATGCGGCGTCTTCACTAATACTATCTTTTATTTTACAGTGTTAGTGTTAAATTGAATACATTCTCAACCGATAGAAATAATTTTTCTGGAGTTTTATTAAATTCGTTGCGGTATTTGCTGAATACATTTAGACCAATTTATTTTGCATAAGGCTCTTATTCAATTATACCAATTTGTTTTGCCTAAGGCTCTTTTGGGGAGGAGGGTGCTGTCTGTAGTTAACCGGTGTGTACTCTATAAATGCTAGCTAAAGCCTATTGCCATACACTCTGCACACTTCAGAAATATAATTATTTAATTATTATATACTAAAAGATGTCCTTTATTTTTTATTTATAGTATTTTGTTTTTTTCATTGATTGCTTTTTTGTTTGTGCAGAGAATCACATTAATTTGAGCCCTTATCTTTCCTATGTCAGTGGAGCATTAGCTGGGTGTGCAGCTACAGTAGGTTCATACCCCTTTGATCTTCTCCGTACCATATTAGCATCTCAGGGTGAACCGAAGGTATAAGCATTATTAGTTTTAAGTTCATTAAACAGATTCAAACTAAATTTATGTAATGTTAGTTAGTGTTCTGTAGAGTGAAGCAAATTATTGATCTTCTTTTTAAATATATTCATTTGGTTCTTAAACTTTAGGCTTTTATCTTCTCCATCATAAAGATGAGCCTGCACTTCATTCTTTGGGCTTGAATGTTTATTCTTTGACATCACTTTTTTGTTTTATCTGTTCCTGTTGCTTGTTGCGAGCTAGAGGATGCTTCATTTTCAAATGAGCTCTATCAACAGTTTTGTTAGTTTTGAGTTGTGTCCACCTCAAAGTTATGCTATACTTCTAAAATGCACTATTGTTCAAATGCCTTGGGAGACACCAACCTTTATACTCTCTACATTGGAGAGAAATCAAATCTGATATTCCTCAAGATATTGTAGTTTGAAATTTTAAAGTATTTATTTTTCTGTTCTCGTGGATAATGTGAGAAATCTACGCACTCATTTATTGTTTTCTTTTTCACACTTGTTAACTAATGTGAAACAGAGGAAGGAAATCAAATTAAATGTCAAGTGGAAGGAACTCAAATTAAATGACAAGAGCTACTTTTTAAGGGATATATTTACTCCAAAGAGTGAATTTAGTCTGATGGTTGTAATGGGTAATCCATCTCATGCGGTTAGATTAAAAGAAAGAGGATTAACTCTTTTATATTTACTTTTGGAGTAATTTGATCCCTTCTCATATTGGTTATTCATATATTGTTAAGGAAAATCCTGGAGATGAATGCCTTGCAAACTATAACATCCATTCTCTTTCATTGATTATACTGAATCATTGACAGCTGCAGACCATAAGTCACAATAGAATCTTGTTATAATACACTCTGGACTATGGTGAATACCTTGAACCTTATTAAGTTTGACTTCAGCTTGGTTATGAAATGGGCTCAAGTATCAACCCATGGTATACTAGTATTGTATGTTTCCAGTTTAAGGATTGCTATGAACATTGTGGTGGTCCTTTGAGTACTTGTGGCAGATGAGATCTTCATTAATGATTTCATTAACTCTAAACGCTTATGGTTTTTATGCTGTTTTGTTTTGCTTTGTATGGAAATAAAGATCTTGTTTTGGTCCATTTTGAAGTTTTTTTTTTTTTTGTAACAAGCATTTGCCAATATCCTGCTATAGGTATATCCAACCATGAGATCAGCATTCATTGATATTGTTCGTACACGTGGATTCCAAGGCTTGTATTCCGGACTGTCCCCTACTCTAGTGGAGATTATACCTTATGCAGGTCTACAATTTGGCACGTATGATACATTTAAGCGTTGGGCCATGGTACAATTCCAGTCCTTCTATTTAAAACTCATCTGTATTTGTTGCCGTGATTATTCTCTGCATTCTTTGGATGTTATACTTTGTTTATTGTGAAACTCTAATGTGGTGAGATGGTAGATTCCCATGGACACTGCATGATCCAGTCTGCCATGCTTTGTAATATTATTCCTTCATATTGTAGGCTTCTCGGTGGAATGCGATTCTCTGATTCAGTTTTGAGGATTGCCCTATATGTGCATTTTCAGTTTCAATATACATTTTGTCTCATCCTTGTTTTATCTGTTGCCTTGCTTTTCAGTGTGGACTCTGCGTATGAATTACTACTGCCATTTACTGGATGAATTATTTGCACTATTAATGCTGCTACACTGTTTTCAATGTTGTCCAAAAAAGAATCTATTTTCAATTTTGAATGAGAAACTAGTGGTGTGCAGAACTCATCTGTAGTTAGGTTGACGTTTTGATTATATTGCAGATTAAAGTTGATGAATTATTAGCAGAAGAGAAAATTAACTTTTGAAATTATGTCACTATTGGTTTATTTCCGCTTGTCTTAAAGCTTCACGCAGTTGATGAATGTTTAGTTTACTTTAATTTTGTATTGTAGTGTTTGGTCCTGTTAACATATAATGTATTGCGGGTGTGAAATTGTAGGCTTTGAATCATAGATTTTCGAACGCTGCTCCAGAAGACAACATCTCTAGTTTTCAGCTTTTCCTTTGTGGGTTAGCAGCTGGAACATGTGCCAAACTTGTCTGTCATCCACTTGATGTCGTCAAGAAAAGATTTCAGGTAAACCTCTACACATATTAAAGATCATTACAGGGATTGGATGTTCAATTTCAGAACTTAGTTTTAGATATCCTCGCCTCTCAACCTTAAAAATTGTAGTTTGGGGATACATAAGGAGAGGGTGTTAAAGAAAATTGGACATTGTGTTATTCTGTCATTGTCATTTGTAATAATGGATCTTCATTCTTTCTTGCTGCAGATTGAAGGGCTTCAAAGACATCCAAGATATGGAGCTCGAGTTGAGCATCGTGCATACAGGAACATGTTGGATGCCATGCAACGGATATTGCGATTAGAGGGTTGGGCTGGTTTGTACAAGGGGATAATCCCATCGACTGTTAAAGCTGCACCTGCTGGTGCTGTTACATTTGTTGCTTATGAGTTGACATCAGATTGGCTAGAGTCCACTTTTAGTTGATTTTTCCCCACTTTTTCTTCCGTTATTAATTATATTCTTTTTCAATATACAAATTGATCCCTCGTAGTGTAGGAAGAAAGTGAGGGATTTAATTCATTGTAATGATAGTTGTAGATGGAAAAGATTTGTTCTTGATGTCTACGTCTGATATCGAATTCCAAATGTATATTTCCAAGATGGTGCAAAGCCTGTCTAGAATCGAATGGTGTTTGGATTCAACCTAATTGTAGTCTTGTAGTTAAATTCGGTAATAGTTAATGAATATCTTTTTGTTTTCGAGGTTGAGACCATGCTGTGCCTATTCTTTATGATAATTCTGTTGGACAAAAGTAGTCTATCCTCAAATTTGTCATTTTTGTAGGCTAATAATGTCCTTCTGCAATCCCCAAGATTCCAATTATTGATATTTGATGTCCAGGATTCATCCTTCTGCCTTTCATAAACAATCCCATCAGTGTGTTTTTGCATCATTGGTTGGTTGTAACCTGGCAAGTGATTATATTTTAACCTAACACCTCAATTTGACAAACTGAATGGAGTTCGTGGAGTTTCATGGCTCACTACGGGCTGGTTTTGGTGTTGATGAAGATATGAAATACTAAATTAATAAACTATACAAGGTATGATTTTCTAAAAACTAACTTTTAATTTGAATTTTAGTTTATAATTGAAAAATGTATAAGTATATGGTTAAATAATTTAAGTTTATTATTATTTTGTTGAAAGTTTATAGGTAGGAATTGATGATTTCTACTTTTATTTAAAATTAGCAAAATTAAATTCAATGTATAGTTTATTAAAATTATTCACTCATCAATGTATATCCTATACATTCAGTTTAATTTTCTAATTTTAACTACAATCATCTAGTTATCAATTCCTACTTTGAACAAAAAGTAATACACTTAGACCATATAGTTATACATTTTCCAGTTTTATTATCTAAAAAAATTACAACAATTAAAAAATATGAGTAAATTAAATGAGTAAATTCATTTTCCATTTCTTAAATAAGTTTTTCCCATATCCAACCTTAAATATAAATATTTTTTCATCTTATATACATATAAGTTTTTTTTTAAAACAAAAAATTATTACAAAATCAAAGAAATACAAAAATTAAACAATACAAAATATTTAACTATATACTTCTACATTTTTCAAATTCCTTTATTGAAAAGTACATAAAACAATTAAAAAATATTAATACATTACTTCTAAATATTTAACACTATCTTATATTTAATTTAATTTTCTTTTTCCATTATTAATTTTGTATTATATGAAATATACCGATCGGAGTTAATGGTCATTTATGAGCAGTTACGAGATATATTAGCATGTATTAATAGGTTTAATGACTTAAAAATATCTTGCTTTAATGGTTAATCAATGTGTTTGGCTGCTACAAGTCTTAAAAATATATTATTGATGTTCAGGTAAAACAACATTGATCTATCCTAATAAAATAAAGACCTATTTGAAAAAGAAAAAAAATATATCTAACTTGAACGTCTTCTTCTGCAAGTCAACAATCCATTTAAGTGAATCGAAAAAGATTAAATGATTGAAAGAGAGCAAAGCAAGGAAGAAAGATCCCGACCCTCAAATAGTTTCAACCAAAACAAATTTTAAAATAAAAAATTATAAAACTAACTTCATGAAATCTAACTCATACAAATCAATCATCTTTAAAATTATGTTTTGAAATCTTATTTACCTCAAAAGATATATAAGATGAGATAATGAAAGAAAAAGTATTTAAATTATCTTAGTTTTTCACATGTGAACTTTTTAACGTAAGTTATGTTAAATTATTACGACATGTAGTAAAGTATTTATTTTTTCTCAAAATTTAATTCTCTCTAGCGTACTTTTTTTACATTACTTTCATTATTGATTTAATTTACGTGGAGTACTATCAACAATTGATTATACATGAGACATGCTTAAATCAATTTGATCAGATAATTCATTATTGATTCTAACATTTATCTTTATTTAATAAGACCAATAATTAAAAAACATAATTTTGAAAACCTTAAATTGTAATTTCAATGAAACGTTCTCATGGAAGACGTTTCAATTTCTGTCCATTTTTAACATTGAATCTTGCTCGAATCACAAAAAATATTATAACATTAGGGTAAACTAAAGTCTCTTACCAGTTGTCATATGAAGATCATACTGATAACAAGAAACACAGTCTCACACTAACATTGTACGAACTACACATCTCATGAACATCACACCTTGCAATTTCATTCAACTCTTTTCGAAACACTTGGAAATTCAAATACTTTCGAATTTGAGCATAGGGTCAATGATAGTGATATCACTTTTTGTTAGATATTTGAATTATAGAAATTAAATTATAAATATAAATTAGCATTAGTGATTCTATTTATACTAGAAATAGAAAATATGATGGCATGTGTGTATGACTTCATTATTGGATTATCGCTATGGAGACATCTGCAGAGAATTAAAGTACTGAAAATAATAAAACCATTTGCTGGAATTTAATAAAGAAACCGACAACAACATCAGATTGGGACGTAATTTATGTCCGAAACTGATAGTTAGTTGGAATTTGGAATTACGAAATGTTGAAAACAAATCAAAACTTTGACATTATTATAAAAATGAATTTTGAATTTTCTAACAGAATATTGATATTTAAAATAAAGGAAAATACTTTTATACGTGCTATTTTTTAATTCAAAGGAAATTTGGAAAAAGTTTTATATTTGTCTTTTCTCGATATTCTGGCTACTTACAATATTTATTAAAAAGCTACAAATATTTAGAAGTCAACTTTTAAATTATTTATCATATTTTGTTTTCACTTTTATAAGGTCTTGTGACTATATTCCTTTCTGTATAATAAAACATCCTAACAAGAAAAAGTAGGTATTAAATCATTTATGTATTATACTTGTTGGAAACGGAAGTTTAGGTTTTGAAAGACGTAAAACAAAAGTGGACAAAGTCATTTTCAAATGTCAATTGCAGAGAAGAGAATTGACAGAATGAAAAATTCTTAAAGAAAAGACATTTTTCCAAATATTGGGAACGAAAAGAACTGAACAAACAATACATTAAAGTAAAGATAAAATAAATAAAAAAAATAGAGACTTCACATCAAGGATGAGTTAATATGTATGTACTTAATCTTAACCCTAAAGTCTGATTAAATCACATTTTTAGACCTAAACTCAATTATATATGGGTTCACCCTGAAACTTGAATGGGACAAATCAAGGTTAACCTAAATTGAAAGTTCAAAAAATAAGATAATGACAAACTTCGGTATCATTAGTTAAACAGTTCACTTAAATTTTAAAATCTATACAGCTAAGTAAATTTGAACACAAAAAATATATCACTACAAAGCAAATTTGGTCAACTTGAAGATATGTTCTCATCTAACAGTAGGTCAAGATTTGGAAAATTGGTGAAAAATTCTTTTTGTTTGAGGAGAAAAGTCAAGCCATAAACACCCATTACTTTACATACAGAGAACATGGCTTTCTGATTCACAACTTGGGAGGTAAACTGCCCTCTCCATGCAAATATAAATAGCTACGCTTGGTCTAAGCGAAATGGTAAATTATTAGAAACAACCATAACAACGATGAAATCACATCATATATGAATGTATAAAGAAGGACATACCCATTCAATAGGGAAAGGCCTTTGATAACTGCTCCATTTACTTTTCTTCTGTCATCTGACAGAATCTGACGAGGTTTAACATAAAAAAGAAAAAGAAAAACTTTTGTCACAATGTGCATTGGCTTACTGTGTATTTTGTTCATAACCAGGGGCAGCAAGGGTTGACTGAAACGATGTCTGGCATTGAGGACTGGCACTGCAACTAAGAAATGAGAAAAGCATAAAAGTTCAATTCCAGGGACTAGACATCTCTCAGATTCTGTTGATTGCAAAAGCTGAGAAGACCAGAGGGATTTCTCTATGTAGCTTTTAGTACATTCTATTGGAAAGATTTGAAAGTTTTAAGCGATTAAAAACCTTCCTTCGAAGTTAATATCTAACATCCATTATGTGCAAAACCACTTCAATCAGTGAAAAGGCTGCTATCTTGTTCATGTCATGCATGCCATCTAACGATATTGGATCCAGATAATCAAACTTCCACTGCTTGTATTCAAAGAAGTAGCATTCACATCCTGAGTCTAGAGTTGAGTTTGAACACTCAGTTTCATTTATCCTTCATTAAACTTGGAGCCTGTCTATATTACAGTCACTTCCGGGGCTACCATTACAGACGACATCTGTTTTTTCTTCTTTTTCAAGACCAGTACCAGCATTACTAGAGCATCCCACTTTGCGGGATACGGAAGGTCTCGTTATTGAGCTGTCTTGAAGATAATCTCTACTTCTTCGCTTCTCCTTTCTGTCTAGATATCCAAAGGCAAAAGCTTCAAGCACTTTCGTTGTTGGTGGGCGGTTTCTGGTGCTCTGCCTCCTGGTGTGCATGTCAGGCTGTTGTTCAGGGTGATCGCCAAGTTTGGAGTTTGTTCCAACACTGGGATCATTTGATTCCTTGGATATCTTATTTTCCTGCATCTCGGTCACTACATTCACAAAAGGTTCATCAACTTCAGCTTCTGGTGAAACAGGCAAGTTAAGGTCAATCATAGTCCGTGGCTGGGGTTTACTACATTGACCCGTAGCGCCTGAAGAACTAGTGTCAGGAACAGCTTCTTCATTGATGATTGAGCTTAGATTTGACGGAGAATCTGCTAGTCTTTTGGTTTTCTGGGCTGGAAAACCTGCTAATGACTTCTCCTGGGGTGGGATATCCCATGAAACTCTCTCACTAAATTTTGACTTGTGAAGACTGGCTTCCTCTTGTTCTACTCTGGTAGCCACAAAGAAGTTTGCAGATACATTTGCACTAGATTTTGAATTGCCATTATCCAAACAAAACCCAGCTTCCTTTTCTTTTCCTCTAGGAACCACAAAGAAATTGGCAGTGTTGCTATTTTTCTTTGCGCGGCTACAAGCAGTTAATCGCCTCCTTCTTTTTGTAACAGGGACTAGATCATTTTTGTTATCAGATACCATTCTCTGGAGTGATGAGCAATTCAAACCATCTGTTTTTAGTGTGTTGCAGAAGAATTCTGCCTTCTGGCCCTTGGAGGCAGCAGATAGGCCACTAGAAGCCATGCCGCTGCTTGGCAGCTCCACTTTAGAAGGGACATTGTTTTCAAAAC